ACAGGTTCCCTGCACTCAAAACTGCTAAGCTCATTAAGGCCTCCAGAAAAGGATAAAGCTAAAGCAAGAGCCATTCCTAGTCTACTTTCGCCCACACGTAGCACTTCCTGCATCCAAAGAAATCACTGAGACCCTCAGGAAGTGAACCACCACCTTCCTCTGCTTTCTGTTTTTGTGTTATTACAGCAGTGTCTTGCAGCTTCTCCCAGCTTTTAAAACTCTACTAGAAAGTACCTTTCTCCCCAGCGAGGGAGGTTTTGTCTCCAGGACCTTGGTAAAACAACGAACACAGAAAACAGCCGTGGAAGCAGCTTTAACCCTGCAACTGGTGCCAGCTGGGAGATCACCCCGTGCCAACTCACCACCCAACATATTATAACACACAGACCAATTTATTATTAATAATCCAGACCATGGACCACTCCTGAGGGTCTGGGCTGCAAGGCCAGCTGAGATCCTGCATGGACAGCCCAAGTTCCAGCCAAGCCCAACCTCACAGGGAGCACATCCCGGGCTGTTGCTCAAACCAAAGCTGGATTTGTGTGGCAGAAGGGCATTAATGGCAAATAATGGAGTTATTATCTAATATTTAAAAAGGGGAACAGATTGCTGCATATTCAGCATGAGGAACCATTTAATGGCCAGCACAGTTTAGCAGTCAGTTGGAAACAAGAGGTTTGGCCACAGAGCAAAAACCAACAGATCTCATTACTCCTGATGGCAGGTAATAAACTCCCCGAGGAGCACAGAGCACAAATTAACAAGGCAAAGGTGTTCTGCTGGGTGGGAGAGGTGGTTTCTCAGAACACAGAATCTGAAGGAAAAAGCCTTATTTCCACCAGAACCAAGGAATATCTCCCCTGTAACACTTCATACAACCCCTGCTTTCCTCCACCACGAGTCCTGGAATATTCTCACTAACACAGAAGCTTTGGAAGGCAAGTGATGTTGATACTTAGTGCTTAGGTCATGGAGCAGAAGTGGTTTGTCCATGTTTTTTTGAGGGAAAAAGGCTGAATAAATGAAGACACAATACCAGACATCCCGTGTGGCTTCCAAGATGATGTAAGTTCTTTAAAAATAGCTTATTTCTTATAGGTCTCCTTTGAAATAGAGGTTACCCGTGTAAATCCTGAACCAAGTATGGGGAACTAAGTTATAAATATATTCTGCAGCAACTACTAGAGGAGGCTCAAGTGTTAAACCTGCATGTAAATTCAGCATTGCTCCCAAGTCAGCACAGTTTTACAGAGCAGCTGGGGATGAACAATCAGCACAGGAGATAATTTCTTCAGGCCAGCAGGTTGTGAAAGCTTGGGGAAATTATTATTTTGATCAATTCAATAGAGGTAGAAAAATTTGTGTCTCTGGGTTTTTTTTAATTTAAGCCCTGATCTGAGAGTTAACCAAGATCTGTATAACCACACAGACCCTCAGAGCTGCACAGGAATGAATATCCACAGTGGCAGCTCGTGTTAGGGGATGTATCAGTCAAGCTTAAATTTACAGACCCTACAAGAACCAACCGTGTCCTCCTCCTCACCCTCACAGAACAGGCCTGGTTTTGCACACCTGACACTGTTAGTGCAGCTCTCACCCTCTCCAGAAATACACACATAACACACACCAACTACACTGAAAAGCCTGAGTGAAATCCAGGCCTCGAAGCTCGACTTTCTTGGGAAATGAGGAAGTCAATGACAATAACAAATATTGTAGGTTTGAATGCAACCACTTCTGTCAGGAGAAGATTCTAAAACCAGCAGAAAGTAGCCAGTTTTCCATGTGTCCCTGCAGGCACAGCAGCTCATGGCTGCACAGACTCTCCCAGCAGGAAAACACCACAGCAGTTTCTTGTACTTTCACATTGCTGCCCAAGTGTGATTAAACTCAGCATCTACTTTTATACATGTTCAAAATCCAAGTTTTCCTTCCCTCTGTGCCAGGTAGTGAACAACCAAAACCACCACATATCCCATGTGCTTTGGAGCAAAGAGCCTGAGCTCCAGGCCTGCACAATAAACCTCAGCCACACCACCTCTGCTCTCCTTCAAGAAAAGGTTAAACTGGAAGACAGCCCCTGCCTACAGGCACTTGGGAACAATGGGCTGATTTTTCTGCCACCAATTATTGCCCTGGATAAGTATCAAGTATGTAGAATTATAATTTAACATACATCACACTCCTAAACTTAAGGGGCTACTGACCTGTTGGAAGTTCAGCAGAGCTGATGCTCTGCCCTCCCCTTGCAGGGAGCTGCCTGGTTATTTTGGGTCCCCTCACCAGGACAGTGCTGCCAAAGCCTTCCCAGCACTGTGTAACAGCCACGTGTGGAGAAAGGGAAAAGCATCCATCACAAAAGACACTTCCTGGCCGCTCAGCTCTGCAGAGTCGCAGTGTTTTAGAAAGTAACACCAGAATTAGGGTAACCATTGCAGCCTGACAGTTCTGAAGTCAAAAGACACCACGGATCTGTTAGAATTTTATTAAAGTAGGTTGGCGCTCGGTCTCAGGCAGAGTGAAAAATCTGCAGCCGCAGAGAGAGAGCTCAGAGCAGACAGGATTCATGAAGTGCCCCAACTGATATTTCAGCAAGATCCACGGTGAAGCACTGCAAACTCAGACAGCTCCAACGTTTAACAGCCCACAATTACCACCAGCATTCGTCACTGCTGCTCCAGTGTGTAACACTGCAGCTGTGACAGACCCAGCACAGGGGGTTCTACAGAACCTACAAGGTCACAGTGATTTTTCTTCAGTCCACTTCAGGCCACTCCAGGGGGGCTCCAAACGGCAGTAACTTTACTGGCTACTTTAGGACTTTGATACAGGCCTATCACAAAAAAGCACTTGTTCAGACAGCAGCAGGTATGACTTTAACAGAACCAAAACACTGTTTCATACCCCCCAGCCCCTGGAACAACACCCACGCGTTCAGCCTGATGTTCAGGCTGCCCCCACAAACTGCAGATGGCCAAGACAGATCCACGTCTGCATCCTGCAGTGGTGACTGTTGATCTAAGCCTCAAAAATCAGGACAGATTGCGGGCTCTGCAGTCCTCTCACAGCAATAAACACCTAAGCAGAGAATTGCTCGGACCAGCCAAAAAAAGCCTCAAAAGGAGCAAGCGATCCTTCAGATAACCACCACTTAGGGCCACTTACAGGTGAAACACACGCTGACTCCTGTGCTCACACCACATCCCAGAAGGAGCACATAAGCTCATTACGGCGCTGCAGGAAGGGATAAAAAGCGAAGACCGAGGCTGCTCGGCGCTGGAGCAGCTCCAGAGCCCCGGGGTGGCCCCGGAGCGTCCGCGGGGCCCGAGGAACAGGTGGGCGCCCCGGCAGGTCCCGGCGAGGGCCGGCCCAGAGCCCCCTGCAGGCCGCGCCCGAGCCGCGGCCTGGCGTGGGGAGGCGGCCGGGCGGCCCCGCCGCATGGACGGGCAGCGCCGGCCGGGCCCGCAGCACCGAGCGCCGCCGGGGCAGGGGCCGGGGCGGCCCCGGCCGGGCGCGGAGCGGCTCCGGGAGCCTCCACCGGGGTGGCCCCGGGCTGGAGGAGCGGGCGGGCGAGACGCGCCGGGGCTGCGGGACCACCGGGCGGGCAGCGCGGCGGGAGCTCCGCGGGACCGCCCGCGGCGGAGCCTCCGGTGCCCTGGGGAAGGGGTGGTGTGGAGGTGGCCCCGGAGGGCCCCCCGTGTGCCCCGAGCGGGGGGGCGGCGGGATCGCCGGGCGCAGGGTCGGCCCGGAGTGCGGCGGGGGGGGGGGCCGTACTCACGTTGCTCTGCGGGTCGATGGCCTGCAGCAGCCGGTCCCTGATCTGCTGCGGGGACGGGGCCGGAGCCGCTGTCATTGCCTGGGCGAAGCGGGGCGGCTGCGGGGCTGCGGCCGGGGCTGGCGGGCGGCGGCGGCGGCGGCGGCGGGGCCGGGCCGGGCCGGGGCGGCGGCGGTTCCTCACTCGCCGGCGGCGGCGGCGGCGGCCTCGGGGAGCCGGAGGGGCATGTTCGCTGCGCGCGGGGCTGGGGGCGGGCGGGGGGCCGGGGGGAGCGGGCGGGCCCGGCGCTCCCTCCGCTCCGCTCCGCTCGGCTCGGCTGGGGCCGCTCGCGGGGCGCGCTGGGGGCAGGGCCGGCGCCGCGCGCGGCTCCCTGGGACGCGCCCGACGCCGTGACGCGCGCGCGCCGCGCCCCGAGCGCGGCTCTGCCGCCCCCCCCCCGCCCCGCCCCGCCCCGCCCCGCACGGCCCCGCCGCGCACGCTCCCGGCGGGGGCGCGCACCGCGCGTGCGCGGGAGGGTGGGGGGGGAATTGGGGGGCGGGCGCAGGCGCGGTGGGGGAGAGAGGCGGTGTGGGGCTGAGGGGACGAGACGGGGGGAAACGGGGGCGGTGAGGAGGGAAGGGGGAGACGGGGCGGAGGGGAGGTCGTGGGGGGAGAGGGGGTATGTGGGAAAAGGGGCTCTGGGGCAGAGGGGAGGTCCTGGTGGGAGCGTGGGGCGTTGGGGGAGTTAGGGGAACCGGGGGGAGCCGGAGGAGAGGGGAGGTCGTGAGGGGAACGGGGCGGTGATGGGGGTGCGGGGGCGAGAGGGGCTCTGGGGAGAGGGCGCGGCTGAGGGGACAAGATGGGGGGCACCGCGGGAGCGGGAGGAGTGAGGAGAGAGTGAGGAGATGGGGGAGAGGGGAGGTCGTGGGGGGAGCAGGACGGGGCGGGGGAAGAGGGGGTCCGTGGGGGAGAGGGGCTCTGGGGCAGAGGGGCTCTGGGGCAGAGGGGGTAGCGGGGGGACCGGGGGAGACCGGGGCGGTGCTGCGGAAGATGCGGAGGGCTCTTGGGGAGAGGGAGGCGCGGGGCGAGCTGTGGAGAGCGAGGGGCGCCGGGGGTGGGGAGAGGGGCGAGTTGGGGGAGCGGGGGCTGCCAGGAGAGAGGGGGACATCGTGGGGAGCGGGGGGAAACGGGGATGGGGCAGCAGGAACGGGAGTAGGGCGGCAACCACAGACGAGCCCCGCAGCCCCCGGCCGTGGCCCCAGAGGGACCGAGTATGGTGCGGAGAGAGGGTCTGGGGAATAAATCCCGGGAATAAACCGCCGTTCCTTGGCCGGGACACGCCGCGGAACGTGCGGGCGCGCAGGAGGGTGACCCTGGGCTGAAGGTGTGAGGGGTGTCCTGCACCCCTGAGCGAGCCACCAGCCCGGCATTTAAACTCCTCAGATGGTCCCAGAGCAGCTCAATGGTCTAAACTCCTCAAATGCTCCAAGACCAGCTCAAAATGAACTATATCCCTTTATTTTAAACCATCTGCTCAGGAGCTGAACGACAACTTTTATTCTCCTGGGGCCACAGCATGCTCTGGAGCCACAGGGTCTGTCCAGAGTGATAAAATTCTTTGCATTCTTTCACCAGTGGAGCTCCATCATCCCCTGTTCCCTGTGTCCAGAGTGTTGCTCGGAAAACACTGTCAGTTCTGCAGAGAAGCACCGTTTTTCCAAGTAAGAATAAACCCCTGCCCAAGCCCAAGGGCCTCCAGTGGGTCACACACACACAGGGAAAGCCACTTCCACCCTTCCCTTTACACTGCAGGGGACGCTTGGCTTAGTGAAGAATAGGGAGAAAATGTTTTCCAAGAACTAAATAAAGCACTGGATTGTGTCTGGACACTACTGGTTTTTTTGCTCATTCAAAAGAATCAGAAAAAGGTTAAAATATACAGAAATTACAGACAAGGAACATGTTTAAATTTAGCCAAGGATTGTTAGTATTTCTGGACAGCTCAGACCACACTTGAAGGGTTCTGTCCACACATTTTTCTACTTTCATTACAGCCTGACATCTTCCCTCAAACACTCTTTCCCTGTCATGTTTCATTAATGTGAAAACTTCAGTTAATACAAGAGGGTGACTCCAGTAAAATGCTACAGGTGCCCAATACTTGCTAACTGACTGCATCCAGATAAAATTCAAAATATTCCCTGAAACCTGAGCCTCAGAATCATTTAAATGAGGCCTCATTCTCCACAGCAGCTAAAGAAACTGAAGCTGAGGAAGCCCCACTAATAGTTTAGTTTGATTTAAAAGATACTCAGCACTGCTCAGAGAGGCCAACTTACTATAAATAGAAATAAATATATAAAAATAATAAAAATAAAAATAACACAAGAATCCAGACACTATTACAAGACTAGTTACAATTTCTCAAAACACACCAATACAGAATTGTTTCCTCAGTAAGAGAATGAACACGGCACCAAGTATATATATTTTACTCTTAAATAGAACAGCTTTATTCAACCAAATCCAAGATTATTTCAAAACTATCCCTTAAACTTGGCTTAGAGAATTATTTTTGCCATTCTTCCCCTTCAAAATCCCTTATGTATTGCTTAGAAAACAAAATTATATTATTTTTAAAAGTTTTGGGGTTTTTTTTGGAAAAACAGCAGGAAGGTGAGAATCTCTCTCTTTTTTTTATTTTAATATTCCTTTTCTCCAACAAAACTAATGGAATAGTGAGAGGTTACAAGAACACTTTGCTCAGCTTTACATAAAACTGAGCCCCAAGGAGTGTGACTTGCACATAACCTGGACAGGGGTGACATGAGCTGACACAGCCCAGGATGGGTCTGGAAACGCAGAGGTTTAAGCCTGGGAACTGCAGTCACACTCCAGTTCTCCCCTGCACCTCACTCTGAGCTTAGAAAAACAGAAGTTCTCTCTATTTCAGTGAAGTTTGAGATAATTTGACTGTGAATGTTGTGGCTCAAAGCCCCGGCAGTGAGTGACCAGCACACGATGGGCTGGAGGGGACAAGCCACGAGCCCAGGGCTGCAGTTTGAAAGCATTGGAATCTTTAAGAAAAGTTTGTTCCCAGCCAAAAGTCTCTTCCAAGGTAACAGACGTGTTTGTGTGTGACTTTCAAGATCCAAATAACCTGGGGGATGCAATAGAAAAAAAGTACATGAGAAGTGGGTTACAACAGTGCACGGTCACACCACTGCAAGGCTGATTCTCTTTGACTAATTGATGGGTTTCCACCCCCCCAAAAATGAAAAATATGCCAAAATTTAGACCCAAATGCTGACCCAAAGGATGTTTTATCTGACAACCCCCAATAAGCAACATAACGTGTGGCTGAATGACTCATATGCTGGCACAGAAGGTTTTGATGCACTGCAGGTGCCCACACAGCAAAAAAACTGAGGCCAACCCATACTTGAAAATTGAAATAAGCCAGTGAAATCAATAAGAATTATGGAAAAATCGAGCGGGGGAGAAAGAGATGTGAAAAGAAATGTATGTGCAAGAAAAATCCCAATATATGACTTCCTATAACCAAATGACACGTTACTTACACAATCATGCAGAACATCATGAAGATATTCCACAGGGCAATGAAGATTCGAAAATACCTGAGACTCAGCAAGAACTCTCTGATATTGTCACCTAGAAATCAAGAGAAGAAACCTTTGATGTGAAAAACACCTGACAGTACACTGACAAGTCACATTTTCAGTGCTGCCTGAAAAGCACAAGCAACTCTGACAAAAAAAAACAAAAACCAACAATCAAAAACACACCAAAAAGTTCAGATCACAAAACGCTGGAACTTGAAGGTTTAGGTGAATGATGGATGCTTTGTTCAGTGGCAAAATAACCACTAAATGATAAAAAGGGTTCTCAATAAATGTAAAAAGGGAAGACCAGCCTCGTTGTAGGTCACAGCCTTCCTGTGATTTTTAAGCAGCAAACAGAGGGAGCAGCACAAGTGTATCCACATGGAAATGGCAACCAGGTGGTGAGCAGAGTGGTGCCTGTAGTACAGGCACCTACAGTCAAAAATGCTGAAAGAAATGTGCTTTTTATTTGGGTATTTCTTCTCAAATCCCCTGTTTGGGGATCATGGGGGGGGGAGGGGGGTTGTCACACCTGTATGTAAAACGGCACAGAAGGAACATTTTCAGGCTGAAAATCACTAAAATGGTTATTCCAGCCAGAGGGCGAATCCCATCCAACAAAACCAGCGGGGGAACTGTGGCTTGGCCAAGGGTTTCCTTTGGAAAAGCCCATTCCCGTGTGTGTTCAGGCAGCCCCGGCCCCGCTCCTGTGTCCCCTCGGTTACCGGTCGTGGGTTCCCTCGGCTCCTCTCCGAATCCCTCCGTGTCCTTCCTCCTCCTGCGGTACAAGGGGGGCCGTGTGAGGCAGGTGAACCCCTTCCCAGCAAACCTCCCTCCCCGCCCTCCCTCCCCGTGTTCGCTCACAGCCTGAAGTTGAGCACAGCACCGGCGTTCACCAGCAGCGTCCTGTGGGAGACAGGGACAGGGATGGGGACAGGGATGGGGAGGGGGACAGGAATGGGGAGATGGGAAGGGGAGACGGAGAAGGGGGGACGGGAGGGTGGATGGGAAATGGGAGAAGGGGTCGGGGATGGAAACAAGACGGGGATGGGGAGATGGTGGCAGGGATGGGGAGATGGTGGCAGGGATGGGGAGATGGAGGCAGGCGTGGGGAGATGGGAAGGTGGGACAGGGAAGAGGGATGGGGAAGGGGAGAGGGGGAGAAGGGATAGGGAAGGGGAATGGAGAGAGGGACGGGGAAGGGGAATGGGTAAGTGACCGAGAAGGGGGACGGGGAAGAGGGATGGAGAAGGGGGACGGGAGAGTGGACGGGGAAGGGGAGAGAGAATTGGAAAACGGGAGGGGGGACGGGGACGGGAAAGGGAAAGAGAAGACGGGGAAGGGGCCGGGGTCACGGTCAGGCACGTCCGGGCCGAGCAGACCCGGCCGAGCCGCCCCCGCTCCCCGTCCCCGGTACCCGCAGAGCAGCAGGTCCCCGATCATGGCTGCGGCGGCTCCGCTGGCGGAATTCCGGGGCAGCGGGAGGGGAAAGGGAAGGGGCGGGCGCTGCTCGGCACCGGCGGCGCCTGCGCTGCCCGGGGCGGCTCCGCGCCCGAGGAGCGAACCGGGCACAGAGCCCGCGGCCCCGGCCCCGGGCAGCGAGCGGGGCCTGGGGAGGAGCCGTGACCGGGCCCGGCCGCCATGGAGCTGTCGGACGCGCTGCCCCTCGGGGAGCTGGCGGCCGCCTTCGCCTCCCTGCCCGTCTTCCCGCTCTTCGACACCGCCTATTTCATCGTCTCCGTCCTCTACCTCAAGTACGAGCCCGGTGAGTGCGGCCCTTGGCCCGGGGGACACGGGGGGGACGCGCTGTGCCCGCGCAGACCCCGCGTTCTCCGGCGCGAACGGGCCCCGTTCCCCCCTGCCCGCTCTCCCCTCACGGGCGCTCGGGGCGTCGCGTCGTCGCGGCTCGGACACCTGTGTCTAAATATAAAGCGGGACATCCCCCCGCCACCCCCCGCCGACTCGTGACTCGCGATTTTCGGAAAACAATCTCGCGTTTTGTTTACGGTTGGATTCCGAGCGCGTGTCGAGGTGTTTTAAGTTCGGTCGCTTCTCTGCTGCTACCCCGGGACTGAGCGTTGCAGCCCCTGGGCTTGAATATTTTTCTGGCAGTGCCTTCCTCGTATTTATATACGAAACGGCTGCAAGGAAAACCTTGGAATTTTCCCACCCTCTGGACCGTGCCCTAATCTGTTCTCAGGCACCACAACTGACCTTGCTTTGTTTGTTCCCTCGGGCTTATCTTGCACGGATCGATAGATCTGCGCCTTGGCTTTCACTTTCTGCGTTGTCACCGTCCGGCTGCACCTCACTCTGTTCCGAACGCCACTTTCTCTGCGTGTTTTTGATGCCGTGAGCGCTCCTCGTGCTCTGTTCTGAGCAGTCGAGCTGTAACTGCCCAGCAACTGAGGGGAAAAAACCAACCCCACGCTTGGGTATGATTTTTCAAGCCCCCCCCTTGTGTGGTCTCTTGTGCTGCACAATCCACGCTCTGTTCTAGTTAAACTCCCTGTAAACAAGTGCTGGGTTTTCCGAGGCCTGATCACTTCCAGCTGTCTTCCAGCATTAAGTCCTGAAGGGAACAGTTAACAGGCAGCTCTCACAAAAATAGCCTTTTAAATGTATGCGAGCCCAGGAATCCACTGGGGCTGGATAAGGCTGGGGTGTGCTTTTCCCTGGATTCCTGCAGTGCTCCATCCCACAGCTCCCGAAGATCAGTGTCGGGACAGAACCGTCCTGTTTCCTCCTTGGAGACAGCAGGGCTTCATGGAGCCAAAGAAAAACAAGTGTTACTAAATTTAAGCCTCAAGCTAAACCACAGGTTCCTATAGAACCAGTTTCATGTCTCGGCTGTTGCAGCTGTCTCGCTGTTTTCAGCTGGTTCAAATGTCCTGGGGATAGAAGAGCCTGAGCTCTCACAGCTTTGGCACTTACTGCTGTTTAAGATGGGCCAGGTAGTCGCCTTGACACAACATCTGAACATTCTCTCTCTTGACTGCCTGTTCCTGGCTCACTGAACAGAGTTTTGTCTCTGAAATGCTGCACAAAGGACTTTGGAGCTGTTTAAGGCGATGAAACGATCTCACAGGATTGATGTTATTGGGAGATTTCCCTGAAGGAGTACAGAGGTGGATGAAAATGGCTACAGGAATTTAAAAAAGGTTGTGGGAGGAGACCACAATGTATTAACAAATAGTAACACTCTTTTAATACCTCATTGTATTTTCAAAGGGTATTCCCAGCCTAGCACAGGAGTGGGGAAGA